TATTCACTGACGCCAGAGTCAGGAATATTACACATAAACAATCATAGTATAAACAAAAAAAATATTAGCAATTAATGATTGGAATTTATTTACTTTGATACCTACGTAATATTTACCAACGCTAGAGTTGGAAATATCCGTAGTTGAATATTCACTAGTGCCAGAGTCAGGAATATTATACACAAACAATCATAGTATAAACCAACAAAAAAAAATGTTAGCAATTAAAGACAAATAGCAGCAATGCAGCCTGCCTTAGGTAGGACGTTTAAGGGGTGATAATATCTTCTCTTTTACGTAACCAGTCTCAGACCATAGAATCTTTATTGACTAGTTAGGGTTCCTAGTAACCATAATACTAGGTGGCGACTCCTTAAACAAAAAATGTCCATTAAAGAACGGGATGCTAAAAATCCGTTCTTTCCAAAGATTTAATAAAATTTATTTTTAAGGCCGCCGTTATGTCGGATGCGACAATATCATTAAATCAAATCAAGTAGTTTGATTTTGAATGTGTTAATTTGGCTTCTTACTTTAAGTTTCGAATTAAACCATCTAGGAATATATTTAAAGGAAACCATTTAATTTAATAAATTTAAAGACAACTTGGATAACCAATAAAAATATGATATGATTTTTAAAAAAAATTTAAGACGATAATTTTTTTTAATATTGAGACAATATCAAATTGAATCGACATTGGTTACTTTGCGACTTAGGTTATAAACTTCAATGGATTCAACAATTTTGTTATTTTTATAAATTATTTTTATTTAATTTTATGATAAAACTAGATGCTTGTAAAATCAAGTACCAACTCTAAAAAAAATGTTTATTTGATATCATAATAACCCTATAGAAAGTAGAAAAATAAACCATAAATTCCATTTCCTAACTAATCCAATATTGAAAAAGAGTGAAATAAAATAAAAAAACAATAAAAAAATTAAAAGACCAAAAACTATATATAAGGTTTGATGACTAAATCTGTGAATCAGGTAAGTCAGGTCAATAGATCAAACCTACAAATCGAGTAATAAATTCCATTGAAATTAATAACTTACTTTTTAAAACTATTGTTTATTTAACCATATGATAAAAAATATAGATGATCACAAAATTGAGTGTCAAATTAACACCAAGATTTTTTTTTTACTATGATAACCTCATAGAAAACTAAACAAAACAAATTATGAAACTCAATTCTCAATCACCCCAATATCAAAAGATAAAATAAAAAAATAAATTTTAAAAAAATAAAAAAGAAAAGTTAAACTCATCAAACCCATCAATAAGCCCTTGGACTTTTTAGAACTTAATAATATGTTTTTTTTCTAAAAATATTTTTTTAAATATATGATAAAAAAAATAGATGATTACATAATTGAGTTTAATTAGAAAAAGACCACTATTAAACTCGTGGATTAGGACAATTAGGGTTACCTCATTAAACTTGTAATCCGAGTCATTGACTCTACAAAGTTTAACAGCCTAGGTTTTTTTCTAAATCATTTTTTACTTAACTAAAATTTTACCAAAATAGACCATACTGCGATGCTAAGATATTTTTATGATATTAACTCAATGCTGAGATATTTTTTTGATGTTGCAATAACTATATAAAAAAATTAAAATAAATTATGAACTCTAAATCCCAATAAATATATCATATAAAGACTAAATTAAAAAAATCAATAATTAAAAGGGAAAAGGGGTCAATATATATAAAAAAACATATTAAAATCAATAATTAAAAGGGAAAAGGGGTCAAAATATATATAAAAAAAACATATTACAAATTACTATTATAATTTGGAATGCTAATAGTTGTGAAAAACAATGTTTCCCTCACACTTATTTGCTTCATATACTTAATATTTAATTACATGAATCTACTTCAAGCTAAAATGCTCATGTTGAAATAAAAACAACCTCACAAATTTATGTAGAGCACTGTATTTACTTAGAAGAGATAATAATAATGAAAATAAAAATATATTTGGTTGAAGAAATAAAGATATAAAAATGAACTTGTCTTTATAACGATTTTAAAGTGAATTTTTGTACTTTCAAAACATAAGACATAAAAAAGATGTCTCCATAAATAATATTTATTTTTTTCTATTCCTAAAATATCATTATAAAAAATGTTCAATTCTAAAATTATCAAATTAAGATGTGTAAAGATATAAATTATTACTATTATAGTTTTAAAACTTAACTTGGAGATTAATATAAAAAAGGCTTGGTTCACAGGTTGAAAGGGTAAACACAAATTAACTTAAGTCAATATAAGAATAAAAATGGTTATTATTACAGTCAAGATATTTAAGCAGTATTTTGCCTTGATCAGTAGCACTAAAGGGAGACCTTCAATCTTTTTATTGTTTTACTTTTATCAATAGGTGAAATGGGTCGATAAAAAATACCATGAAGGGATAATCCACCCATCCAAAAAAATAAAAAGGGCAAGGGGTAATAATGAGGTTTGATAGCCAAGCCAAACCTCAATATGGTATAGTCTAATCTAGGGTTGTACCCACTATTATAGGGCACCCCAAATAGATGTAAATAACAAGCCTCTTTTTAGGCCGAGATGAGGAGAAAGTTTGCATTAGGTTGAACAACCTTTTTACTAAATATAACAATAGTTGTATGGCTAGAGGATTATATCGGATTTCAAGTAATATCATTTTCATATGATTTTTTACTTCAACGCCTTTCATTCCATGACTGTTTTTTTATACAAGGTCTTTATCTGGGATCGCTAAATTTGAATTCAGTGGGTTTACTCCTTTTAAGCCTAGTCACATGTCTATGCCCTTTTTTAGTGACGACTCCTCTTTTAAGGATAATTAACCATTGACACGAAGATAAAATGTTAAGTCTTTCATTCAAATAAACATTAAAGCGATTTCCACAGCCCAAGCTGAGGATGTCCTTAAAGACATCCCTGTAACTAACATTCCTACTGATAAGGTGTGTCAAAAGGGATCAGGAAAATCATGTTCTCCCTTATTAAAAAGCCTCATGGTGCTAATATCAACCTAATCATTTTAAAGGTTGCTTCATGATGAAAGAGAATGAGAGTCTTTATCCCTTTAGAGTCTATGATTATTTCTCCTTCACATAGCGATCTTACTCTCACAAATTCAATTTACCTATTTCTAGAGTCTTTTAGTTATGCTCCTTTACCCTTTAGAGTGAAGAATATCTTTTCTAATCTTAAGTTGGACCACATTTTTATCCGTTTCTCCACTCTAAATAAGAAAGAAAGGGGGTAATGAAGATTATTTTTTAGGGAAGTCCATGCTGGCACTTGGTGGGTTAGATGTAATGAAGATATTAGAAAAACTCCTCACTTTGTTTTTATATGGAAGGACTAACCAAGCTATTATCACTATTTGACCATTATTGGACATATGAATCTTCAGGTAAGATAGCAAACTAAGTTTTTTTTTAATACTATTTTAAAAGATGACTTATCTTATCTCTTTTGTTATTTAAACTTTTATGATATATGCCTACTTAATCGTAAGTGAGCTAAGGAGATAAGGGCCATAAAGGAGACCATTAAGAAATATCATTTTGACAAGTTTGAAGTGCATAAACTTAAAGAGGAAAAAATTATTCAAGAAATTAAGATGAACTCTTTTAGGACTGCTTACTCCAAGCTGTAGGGGTAAATGAAAGCCCAAACCTATGTCTTGGATTCAACTAAGTAAAAGTTGGCAGAAGCTTACAACCATATTGACTTCTTAAAGAAAGGGATGACTAACTTGGAAAAAGAGCTGGATGAGCTTCGGGGGTAAAGGAGACCTTAAGAAAAGAGATGGAGATAACTAAGAAGGAGGTTCAAAACTTTTGTACGAGAATGAAAAACTTGAAGAATTCCTCTTAAGTTTTTTGGTATAAATATAGGAAGTTCGTATCTCTAACAGAGACAATAGATGACAAGCTTTTTCTAGCCATGCCAAACCTATATTTCTTTAACTTGTTTAGAGGGATACAAGTTGACTTTAATGAGAATGTCCCAGATGGTTAAATCTTGAACTTCACTGATGTTTTTCCAATTAGAGTTGCCTCAGCTAAGAATGAAGTTTATCTAGCCTAGGGACCTGATATGAAGATGTAAGTTCCTTTAGGGTTTGTTTTTGTTATTTCCTTAAGTGTATTATAATATATTGAATACTTAGGCTTTTAAAGCCTTGAATTTCGCCATAAGGCTTATATTTTATATATTGGTTTGAGATTTATATTACATAACTTGTAACATTATTGTTTTTAAGTATACTAATCTAAAT